ATGCCACCCAAAGACCCAAGGTTCGGTTTTGACCCAAAACAGATGTTCATTACCACTTATTAGCCTTAGATTAACAACCCTAAGCTTGAATGATTAAAGTTAACTCATTTCATAACATAAACAAGCTATTTCCATGAAAAAAAGGGAAGTTCAAGGTGTACCAATGGGGTCCAAACTCAGCCACAAAGAAGGCTCTTGGAGCTCTCCAACAATGCTCAAAAATTCTGACTTTGCAAGAGTACGAAAATACAACACAAGGTTGGACCTTTACCTTCAAAGATGGCTCCTTGAAGCCTCCAATGGCATGAACAAAGGCTCACACCAATGGGAACACCAACTCAGCCCACAAAACCCCTCACACAGTAGCCTAAACTCAGAAAATCAAGATCTTTTACTCACACAAGGCTTGTCCTCACAATACTCAACTAATTTGGTGAAGGAACCATGACCAAAGGTGATCACTTTGGTGAAATTTGTGAAGAAGAAGCTATAGAGTGGAAAAGAGAATGTGGCAGCTGAAGGGAACTCAGAAAATCACGTAGCACAAATGTATTTCTGACCTAGGGCATTGTGCCATAAGCTTATATAGGCCCACTTAAGTTAAAACACACAGTATTAGCAAAAATAGCTACGCTTATCATTTTAATCTCAAACTTCATATTCTGAACCTAGCCATTTTTCTAGGATTTTCATATTTTTATATTAATTTTTCGCAATAATTTTTCGGTGCGCGTTTTAACACTGACAGTATTAGTTCCGACATCAATTTTTATTATTTTGACTTCAAACTTGTTTTACAAGTCCTATATATTATTCTAGAAATATTCATGCACTTATTATAATTTTCCGGGATACTTCACCGGTACACATTTATACCGACTAGCAGAACCGATATCTGCATTTTTCGTTAGAAAAGCGACTTTCAGCATTATTAATCACTTTCGATGTTTATTTAAGCCTCATAATAATTATTAGGGTCAATTATGGAATTATTTCCTAATTTCACATAATTAATTAATTAACTTCCTTAATTAACGGTGCGGGTTCTTACATTCCTGATGTTGCTCCACATGCAGACATGGTTGAGCCCGAGGTGGAGGATGATGATGACGACGATGATGAGACTGACTTGCAGGATATAGCTGAGCCTGAGGGTGGGTTTTCATTGCGTGATGTCATGAAGGGCATAAACGCCACGCTGAAGAAAATAGGAAAAATGGCGCTAAAACATAAAAAGTGGAGGAAGAGTCACATCCAGAAGGTTTAGACACATACAGGGAAGGTTCAAGGGTGTTGAAGATAGGCTTGCTCGTCTAGAGTTTGCACGAGGATAACAGGTTGAGGATGTTGCAGGGGAGGGGGCTGATGTGTCAGATGAGGATGACGAGGAGACGACGTCCGAGGAGGAGGAGGATTAGATTTAAGGTTTATGTTTTTATTTTACGTTTGTAGTTTATGTTGTTATGTAATTGACTTCGGTCTTCCTATTTGACATTTGTAGTTTATGTTGTATTATGTTTAGGGGCTGAACTATTTCCGTCAGTACGAATGATAACACAAATATGAAATATTCAATTAAAAACTTTAATTTACTATCTTACCACTGCTAACAGGGTCAACACGGAGTGGTGGCATAACCTGGGAACTCAGGTTTCCTGAACTTGTGTCAGCGTCAAAATTCCCCTCTATGTCCGTATCTGAGGTGTCACCCAGCGGAATAACACTCTCGGGTTCACCGTCGTCATCACTGTCCATATCCTCCTCATGCTCATCCTCATCCTCGTCTATTTCCCTCAGTGTTATCTGACTTAAGATAGGTGCAGGTGCAGATAAACCGACCACTCTGTCTTCTTGACCCTGACTTCTTTCATGCATAGGTGCAGATGAAGATTGACCACAATCTATTTCAACATATATCTCAATAAAATTTTGAAATTTTCGGTCCACAATTGCATCTATGACACATTCCACATCTTCATCGTCACATATATCATTACCAATGTAGAATATAGCATCCTTACCAACTGTAGACTCTACCCTGGCGATCATTCGTTGAACGCATTGGCTGCCTTGTAGTTTTTGGTGAATCCTCCTCTTCAGCTCATTGTACGTAGTGCCCCGTTTAATTTTCAACATTTTCGTTTTTCCTTCAAATTGTACACCATTGGGGCCTTCATAATGCTTTCCATCATAGTAGATCATTGTAACATACATGTTTGGACTTGAGCTCATCTTTCACACGAATTTGGGGGTAGGAATCGGATTTTAGGGATTTGGGTTCGGATTTGGGGGCAACAAATGAGAAAATAAGGGAAATGGCAATGATTTCACAATGACTATGCTTTGGAGATGGTGGGATGAAATGTAATCGTGATTGGAAGGATCACAGCTGACAAACAAGAGATAGAGGGGGGTACAAAATGAAAATATTGCAAATGAGACTGAGAGAGGGCTGGATATAGGGTTTTCTGCGAAATTTAATCGACTAAATAATTGTTTTAGTCGATTAAAAGTGCACGAAATTTAATCGATCAAATTGAATTTGTAGTCGATTAAATTTCGTGATTCATGTTTTCAGTATTTTGACAATTTAGTCGATTAAAAGTGCAAGTTGATCGATTAAATAGGGGCAGGATGGTGGATAGTTCTGGGGGAGGGGCAAATTGGTTATTAATTAATTAATGAGGGGCAAAAGGGTCAAAAAGCCTATTTTTTGCTTACAACATTTTACAACCATATCTTAACCGTTAATTTCCGTCAATCAATGGTTATCATTCATTGCAAATTAAATATTAATTAATCAGTTTAATTTGCGAAAATAATAACCATTGATTGACGGAAATGAACAGTTAAGATATGGTTGTAAAAGGTTGTAAACAAAAAATAGGTTGTAATTATAATCTTTTCCATAAAAAAAATAACAAAGAAATGCAATGAAATTTTAAAAAAAAGTAAAACTTAATATAATTTTCTCAATAAGTAAAATATAATATAATTTTTAACAAACATTCTAAATTACTAAACAACAGCTTTTCACATATCTTATAGGTTGAAAATTATCTTCTTCATTTGGTATCAAAGCTATGCATATATGATTATAAGACCTATTTTTTTTTAATTATAAAAATCATTCTAAATTTGCATATAGAACCTAAAGTTCATGATAAAATTTCGTTTGAAATTTTTTGCAATTGATATTGAAAACCTTGGGGGTTTTGTTTTACATGATGAGAGTTTTCTAACCATATATCATATGCATATTTTCATTGAATATTCTAAAAAAAAAATTTGAATCTGAAATTTTGGGTTTAATTACATGAAAGTTTAGAAAAAAATTCAATTTTTTTTCAATATATACATTTTCTTTGGGGCTTTTGAGAAACAAGCTTTTAGTTATCTATTGACACAAAAATTGTTTGAAATCATTTCCTATAGGGAAGGAATTTCGTTCATGAATGTATTGTTACGAAATATAGGGTTCATATTATGAAAGTTTCAATCTTTCTTTAAATTGATATTGTTTCATTGATGTAAAACGAATATTTGTTTGAGGATTTTAGTTCCCTTGTTATTTTTTCACTGTTTTATGCTGTTTTTAATACAAAAATCACACGTTTTTGTGCCAAGAAAACTGCTACCCATAGCTTAAAAAATCATTTTTTAAACTTCCAAAATTTCTCAAAATAGCTCAAAAATATGTTAGTTTTGAGATATATTATATTAAAATCTCGATGATTTGTTGTTTCTGAGTTATTTTGTGATAAAAATCGCTCAAAAATATGCTCTTTTTTTTTTAGTTTTGATGAAGTTCCCATGGCGAAACTCAATTTCAAGCATTCAACATGCCAAAGGAAGAAGAAAACACTGCAATAGAAGAATCTCAAGAAATCCTAGGGGTTAGTGTGAGATTGTGAGAGAGACATCCTATTTATATTTTTCACTAAAAAGTCTCACGAAATTCACACAAATAGAAAATTCATTAAAATCGTCGGATTTTTGAATACCGCGAGATTGTGATTCCATTGTTTAAAATCCTGATTGAATACCAACAAGATTTGGATGGATTCTAAAATAATCCTTTAAAATCTTAATCGAATACCACATGACTTTTTTTCAATCCATTAAAATTCTAATCGAATACTAACGGATTTTTTTGTCCAAAAATAATCCATTAAAATCATTTAAAATCTGAATCCAATACACCTCCTTTAGACTTTATTTGGGTCATTATTACTTTCCTCCTCGTCCACTAGTTTTTCTTCTTTGAAAAAATTGTTATTATTGGTGATCTGAATTGTTCTGATTTGTTTACTTTGCAATGCGTACATCACACATAGTATCATTGATTCATTACAATTTTTAAGAGCACCTAATTCAATTGTTCTAAGGTAAAAATATCTATTTTAACCAATTAACAAATTTAATGATTGAGACGGTTACCCACCATTACAAATTCTTTTCAAAATAAAACCAAAAAACAGAAAAAAGGCATGCTTCTAAGAAAAAGGGCATGCTTCTAAAAAAACAATGAATTCTTTTTAAACAGAAAACTAATGAAGACTTAAATTTTAAATTATTTATAATAAAATAGTAACAAAAATTTAAAATAACTTCTTATAACAATATATTATACATGAGACATGCCATAAAAAAATTACAACGCAATAAAAATTTCATGTCACACAAACTCCATTCTGATTTGTTTTCTTCAACATCATGAATATTTAATCCAAGTTAATTGAGCTCGGTGGCTCATTTGTCTTCTTATGTAAGATAAATTAAGAGTTGTATCCAAAAAAATAAAAAATAAATTACGAGTCTTGCATTGAATGACTTTTCCCAAGATACTTCTTGTGCATTACTTCAAATAGACATCTTCATCATTCAGCATATAAAAAGTAGAACTCAATGATAAATACTGAAAATGCTAAATACGAAAGGATATGGTAATATCCATGGAAAACATTCAGAAATACAGAGAGGAATGATTCTATAACTAATCAGAGCTCCTTTTTTGTTACAAGTGCTTTCACTGGAAATTCGTTTTTAACCCAATCCAGATAACCTCCTCCCATGTTGCTCACATCTTTAAAACCCTGCCAATTCATATTAAATCAATAAAAGTTGGTCTTCTCATCATTGTCACACAGCAACTTGAAACAAGAAAGAAAGAAAAAAATAGCATGTAACTACTTTACATGAATTTTATGGATAGAGTATTATTCAATTTATTCATAGCCACTGCTATATATTTGAGATTGAATTGAAATAAATGAGTCTGCTAGAATTTGAAGAATATATATACTGAAGTTGACAGGAATTAACTTACTCCAGCCAGAAGATCAGCAGTTGCATAAAGAGACCTAACTCCACTTTGGCAACCCTATAAAATACATATTTCATAAAAATTTTATTAATTAGTGATAATCAATCATTTCACCCATATTATATATTTCTAACACACTCCTTGCTGTAAAAGATTAATGTTATACGGGCTTATTTTTTTGGTTCTAATGTGAGCAGTGGTCAAAAAGCTTTGATACCATATAAATAATCATTTCATCCTACAATTCAAGTTATTAAGTGAGAACCTATCAATAATTTTTATATTATATTTTCTAAACACCATTATAAAAGAAAATTACCACAATGAGGTGATCTTCTTTCTTGCAAGTAGATGAAACCTCCTTCAGAAAATCCGGGTTCTTCACCCTACCTGTTCTCCAAAATCAAAGATTTTTACACTCTAACAATAGATTTTGTACACCTAGCATGCTAAACAAAAAAAGATTCATATCTCCAAAAGTGAATTTATGTTATTACCAGATATTGAAATTTCGTTACCTTCTGGTGTATTGAACATGTAAGGAATGTTAATGATCTTCTCTGCATCCACGTGCCCTTTCCGGAACTCTTCCACCGTCCTAGTAATTAGCAAAAGATTTAGGATCTTACCAAAAAGATAAAAATTATTAAAGATAAACCCCAGAAAATTCAGATAAATTAAGTTCCTAAATTTTCAACCAAAAAGAAAAAATCATTTCTTACCTGACATCCAGATAAACATGGCTGGTCTGAATCAGACCCTTGGCTTCAATTACATCAACGGTGACAACCTCTGTCCCTGAGCTACATAAGACAAATACAAGAAGAAATAGAAATACTAACCCACCAATATTCAATATTAATGTATGGTAGCTATACTTAAAAATTGTAAGCTAAATAAGAATATAAAAAATATGTACGTAAGAGGAATAATCCTCAAACCTTTCAAAACCAATTGAACCCATGATGAAGAGAAGTGTTATCTATTTATGGATTATGTACGTAGCTTTGGCTAGTTAAAGCTTCAGGGGCTGTTTCTGTTGGCTTGTTTTGCCTCCTATTAAGGTCATATATATATAGGGAGTGAAAATGCAAAAATGGCGTTTCTGCACTTGGACCGGTAATGGTTGTATGGTACAGCTTCTTGTGTGTGGAGAATGAAAAGCTCGGAACTTTTTGTGGATAGGTAAGTAATAATAAAAGCGATTGAATTGTGTGACGTGTAAGATCAGTTGCGGAGTGTGTCACATTCCAACCCCATGGAATGATGGGGACACAAAGAATGAGGATACGATATAAAGACAATTAATGATTACTCACTAAATCACTTGTTCCTTCACGGGAGAAAAACTTTGGTGCAGCTGTCGGTGTTTTTTTTTTTTTTTTATCCATATCTTTTTTATATTTCCCTTTAAATCATAAAAGAATTTCCTTTTTAATAAATAAAGCACCAAACTCGGTACTTTCAATGTACCAAAAATCTTCCCCCTTTCTAGCTAGATAGTAAAATTCATGGAAAAAATATACTAAATAAAACAAATGTGATAAAAAGAGATAAATTATTCTACTTATTAATTTTTCATACATATCTTATCTACCACTCTCCAATTTTATTAGATCAGAGTCTTAACTAACTTGATATTTATCTCTCCTTTTAAGATTCTATGTATCAGTATTGAAAAATAGTAGGTAAGGTATGCATGAAAAATAAATAGGTAGAGTCATCTATCTCATTAATATAAATATGTCAAAAAAGTATGTTATTAATTTTTTTTTTAAGAGTAAATACCATTTTGGCTCTCTAACAAAAAAAATACGGTTCCCACTTTAGTCCCTTACAAAAAAAAAATTAATCTCGAGGTCCTTGAGAAATTCAAAGTGAACCCATTTAGTTGAAATCGTGGTCCCTCACAAATTCAAAAAAAATCTACATTAGTCCCTCAAAAACTTTGAATTTCTCTAGGAGCTCGAGACTAATTTTTTTTGTAAGGGACAAAGTAGAAACCATATCTTTTGTTGGAGACCCAAAATGATATTTACTCTTTTTTTAATTTGAATATAAATAAGAGTAAAATATGTAATGGACTGTTTAAAGATTATAGTGTTATCCTATGATGCACGGACACGAACACGAGACACGACCGACACATTAATTCTAAAAAATGTCATATTTTGACACGTTGGGACACGTTTTGATATTAAATAAAAATTTTAATATATATAATATAATTTATATTTAATACATATAAGAATCCATAACAAATCATATAACCAATCAAATATTTAAATTTTATAACATAAATATAAATATAAATAGTTTTTCGTACTTTGTTAATTTTTCATGTCAAATTTCATAAGAGAAAAAAATTAATTTACAAATTATTTCTTTTATATTTAGTTAACAAAATAAAATTAAGATTAAAAAAAAAAAACGTGTCCCAGCGTTGACCGCGTGTTGGAAAAAGTTGACTACGTGTCGAAAAAACATGTCAAAACGTGTCGGAGAGTAGACCGCGTGTCCCCAAATGTTGACCGCATGTCGTACGCGTGTCCGTGTCGGACACGTGTCCGACACGAATTTTTTTTAAAAAAGAACGTGTCCATGCTTTGGAGGTGTTATTACATTCATCTTATAAATAATTTTATTATTGATAAGTATTGTAAAGATTGAAAGTGTTACTACATTATTTTTTTTAAATTATTTTTATTATTAATAAGTCTTGTAAAGATTGAAAGTGTTAGTATATTATATTTTTAAATATTTTTTATCACTAAATTATTTTCTTTTTTTTGGAAATAATAGGAAATTAAAACAAAAACACAACAAAAAGAAACTAGGCACAAAGCCTAGACCAGTGAACACCTATAGTGTCACCATACAGACTATCAATACAACCTGACGGTGGACAATCAAATTCCTGGATTACCCAAGAGAAACCATAAGAGTAAGAGGCTAGAAAGTCCGCTACTCTATTTCCTTCACGGTGAATGTGAGACATATAAATCTGCCAATCTCGCTGCATCAAATTTCGAATACGATTCACCAAATTAGCCGCAGGGTAATCATGGTGGCACCCATTTGTAATGAGCTGTTGAGCTGAAAGAGAATCTCCTTCGAGCCAAACTTGCCTAAAACCTCTATCCCAAGCTAGCTCCAAACCAACCAAGCAAGCCCATAACTCAGCATGCAAAACTGTACCTGAGCCTAAATTTTTACAGAATCCGACGATCCAAGTTCCTGAGGCATCGCGAAAAACTCCTCCACACCCAGTCCTAGTACCATTAGCATCACATGCACCATCAACATTAAGCTTAACCCAATCCACAGGAGGACAACACCAAGCAACCAATCTCTCTATTCGATTCCTTGGTTGATTGCCCGCTCCAAAAAACAGGGTTAGCTGCAAGAGCGACACTATCTCTGAAACCAATTGCTGAACGGATAAGTGAATAAGCATTCTGGCGATCACCTTCAAAAACCCAAGAATTCCTACATTTCCAAATTTTCCAGGCTAAGCAAACTTACCACATTCATTCCATTACGTTACTACTTTAATTTTTTATAAAAACAAGTATAATAATATTTTAGATCTTTGAGAGCCTAATTTAATGTCGACAAGAAAAAATTGTATAAGATGTAGCATAAGATAAGATGTGATATTGAGCAACTAAATATATAAGAGTAAAATTAATACAGTTAGTATTGTACGTATTTGACATCATTAAAATTCTAACATTAATTTACGAAAAAAAAAGGAAAGATATTGTAATAACCAATTAATGTTACTACCAATCAATTTCATCATTAGATCAATTATGTTAATCCAATGGTTATATTTATTTCTATCTTTGAATTGTTATAATTCCTCATACTTAATATGAAAGCATTAAATATGGAAAATCATAATCATACAAAGGTAAAAATATGGGGAATCATAACCATATAAAGATGGAAACAAATATAATCGTTGGATCAACATAATCGATCTAACACTGAAATTGATTGGTAGTAACATTAATTGATTGTTACAATATCCTACCAAAAAAAAATTCAACATTAATTTAATTTAATTTAAAAGTCGATTCTATATTTAAAATTTATTATAAAAGGTAAGATTTGAAATGATTCTTGAATTCATTTTCCTTTTCTGAAACATTTAAGAAAATTAATTTTAATTTATTATCCTTATTTAAAATCAAAAAGATGAGAAAAAAAGGGAACATTATTTATTCTTTTAAATGACACAGCTTCATTTCACTCTCATAAAGAGGTTAAACCCACACCTTTATATTTTTTTGTCCACTCTCTCCTCCTTTATCTATCTCTTTAATGAGTCAAGCAGATCACTTAGCACAAAATACTATAACGGCGTTAGCCAATGGGGGGTGTGTGTGCGCACAGTGACAACATAACAGTAAGAGAGAGAGAGCGTACGTACCTTTAGGGTTTACCTTTGTATTTATAGAGGTTACCTGTAGGTAGTGTGGATGGGCCTTTGGTTCCTCTGGTGAGGGTCCAGGCCTGATAGCTATGCTGTCGTATTAGGATTAGTATCCTTAATGGATATCTATCCTTTATTAGCATCAATCCATATCTTGGATTGCCCCTTGTTGGGCCTCCTACTTAATGGGCCCATTATACGGATCCATAACATTTGCCCCTCAGCTCGGCTACCGGGGTGTCCGGGTAGTCGGGGTGAACTTATGTGTGCATTTCTCCAGGTTTTTTGCCCCTGAATGGGTTTGCGTTATTGTAGATTTGCATGTTCTGCTTACGAGAGAGTGTTTTTCTCGCGGGGTGTCCCTTGCCCCCTTGTGTCGACGGGTTGAGAATCAACCCGGTGAGATATTTTGCGTACCCCACTGTTCGGGTCGGGTACGATCTCGTTCTATCAGGTTGCCTCCTAATGTCGGCATTCATGTTGATTTCTAGTTCTTGGCCTACGTTATGTATTGCGCCATTTCCCTCGTGTTGCTTTGCTGGTTGGGCATCAACCATATTGCTCCTCCGAGTTAGGAATATGCTTAAGTTGTTTTAATCCCCCTTGCGGGTTGCTCCCAAGCGGTATTCCTCATCTCAGAATGTATCTGCATGTTTATTTGGTGGACGGGTTGTGCATGAACCCGTCAATGCTTTCATGAAGTAACTGGGTAGATGACGCGTGATTTAACTGTTTGAATTGCCCCCATCGTTGTCATCTTATCCGGGTTGCTGGGCTATGCATGTGTGCCTCTTAATTTGTTGGACGGGTTGTTGACGAACCTGTCCAGGGTTTCGTTGTGTAACCGGGTAGAAACTATGCTTGAATAATCGTGAGTTGACTATTATCCCAAGCGTCAGCTCCGAACTCAGTAATCAGCTGTATGTGCATATACACCTTGTCTTATATGTAGGTTTTTGAATTATACTCGTTGCCTTGTGCCACGTGTTCTAGCCCGCGTGCTTTAGCGTGCTGCAGCTGTTCTTATGACGTCGTTGCATTTCGTGCACATTTATTGCAGCATCATTTCAGTTGTCTAACCATTGCTTTATGGAGTGAAGTGGCAGTTTTGCCCCTGCACCTTAGCCTCCTCCGTTCTGTGGTTTCCGCGCATGATGATTGCGGTTTCCACCCACAATGTGGCAGTTATGACTTGCGGGCGAAAAGGACCTAAATAACCCTGACCTTTGCTATTTGCAACTCAGTGGTCTTGGTCTTGCCTATATAAGTCCTCATTTCCTCTTACATGGTTTCGTTTTATTTCTGAGCGTTGTGCATCAGCTTTATTTCGTTGTTTTTGTCTGTGTGCTTACTGATTGTTGCACATCAGCCTTGCTTCATCTGCATTTTGGCATTTCCGTTTCACTACTTCAAGAGGTATGTCGCACATTATCTCTTTTTTGTTGCTTCTGCTTGAAGATTCTGCATTTTGGCATTTGTTTTTCAACATTCATTTATAAATGCGAAGTTGCATAATTTCTTCA